AAAATATATATATATATATATATATATAAAACAATTAAAAAAAAAAAAGATTACGCATTTTTTCGAGAAATAATTTTCTTTTTGTTTGGCCTCCCAATGGCATTGTTGTAATACCACACCAACTTCACCTATAAATAATTGACATGTAAAGGTCAAAGGTTAATTATTTAATATCCTTGAAAACTTCTCCATAAAAATATTTATACAATCAAACAGTGTAAATAATAAATTCACTTTATTGAAAAATTATATTATATTGTAATATAATTTTTTGAATTTTCTTAACATAAAAGATGTACGTGTTCAAATTTCAAAAGTGACAATTTTCGATCTTTCTAAAATTTTGTTTTCAAAATTCTTGTTTGAGAACACTAAGCTTTAATCAAATCGTTTAAAAAATAATTTTATGTAATAATGATGATTAACAAAATAGAATAAACAATACATACATAGTACTATAATATATTAAATTACACTTGAACTGATAATAATTTAAAATAAATAATAAATAGCATGTTATAACAAATTAAATTAAATTTATATAATAAGAAAAAAAAAAGGCATTAACAAAACCTGAGTGTCATTAGCTTCTGATCCACTATTTGTGAAAAAAACTTTTCCCATCTTATTTGCAGTAAACATATTTATGAGCTCCTTTGCAAGATCCTGTATTTGTTTTTTAAAATAAAATAAATTAATCAGTCAGAACTGCTCCTTCCGTCCTAAAATAATAATTACATTTTATTTCTTGAGAATCAAATTAGTCAATTTTTATAATTAAATTGTCTTAAAATGTCTGTTGAAATTGATATAATTTGATTCTCGAAAAATAAAATAAATATTTTTGGGATGGAAGGAGTAATATTAATAAATTAATAGACAAATTTAGAAGTATTGTACCAAAGATGGTTTTGTGGAACGATTCCAAAATGAATGGTAAAATGCCAATTTATTGAGTTGTTTATTTGCAGCTTCAATAAGACGAGGCTCACTCCCCCCTACAATAATGCAGATTCGTATCATGTGAGATTCATTAAAACAAAATCATTTTCTATATGAATTTTTTTTATTTTCAGAGCTCAAACTTAAAATATCTAATTAAAAATAAAGAATTCTTATTCATCGCACGATATACTCTTTTGTGGTGAAAGTCATCTTCTGATCATATAAAAATATATCTTAATAATATAAAAAATAATATCTACACTATCAATATATAACTTATTAATCCAATCAAGAATTTCACAAAATGCGAAAGAAATTTTCTATAATAATCAAAGATAGCTTTCAACATGTTGCAATCAAAGTAAAAATATTTGGCATGAAGGAAAATATTTATAAAAAAAATAAAAAAATCACTTTTTAGCAATCAAATTAAACATTAAAAAGAGAAAAATGAATTTATTTGCTTATATGTTTCTCTTACTCTAATTAAAATAATTTCTAAATTTTATAAAATATTGGATATTGAGGTAAAGTTTCTCCCATCAAACACACCATAAATGTAACTGTCAAAATATTTATTGGGTTGGTCCATCCATGAAGCATGGGGTCCTAATTAAAGGAGAAATCAGTAAATCTCCTAATTAACTACTCCCTCTGTCTCTTTGACACGGTGCGGAGTTTAAGAAATGAAGGAAGACTTTAAAAATTGTAGTATAAAATAAATGATAAAAATGTATGTGGATATAAATCATTTCATTAAGGGTAAAATAGATATTTTAAAGTTTAATTGTTACTTAATATAATCATGTGTCATTCTTTTTCGGACGGATTAAGAAGAAAAGTAAGTTATATAAATTGGGACAGAGGGGGTATTACTTTACATGCAATACAATAAATAAAGGGTTTAGCGACAATTATTTAGCAATAATAATATAATTGTCGTTCTATTATATTTAGCGGCAATAATAAATATGAATATTTATAACCAACACTTTATATAAATACCACTAAAAAATTTAGCGACTCTTGATGCGATAACATTATTACTTTACAGTATTCACTACTCCCTCCGTTTCACAAAGAGCGGCCTAGTTTGACTTGGCACGGAGTTTAAGAAAATAAAGAAGACTTTTGAATCTTGTGGCCCTAAATTAAAGTTATGTCAAATGTACAAAATTGCCCTTTAATCTTGTGGTCTTAAACATGTCACGTGGAAAGTTGAAAGTAAAATGTTACCAAAAAAGGAAAAGGGCTATTCTTTTTTAAACAGACTAAAAAGGAAAGGAGGTCATTCTTTTTTAAACGAAGGGAGTATTAGAAAACAAGAGACTACTGACAGAACAAAATTCAGTAGCTAAACGACAAAAATCCCAAATTAATCCAACTTAATTATGGTACTTACAAATTTCAAGAATATTCAATTAGTTAAGAGCCTTTTAACAATGGATTAGATAGAGACTACAGACAAATTTCGTAGTTAATTTCATATTTTTGTAATTGTGATTGATGTTAAATACTATTTCTGCCGCTATAAAAATTGTTATTAAATATCTCTTTTGTTGTGGCGAGAATTAAACACTTCAGTAACAAAAGAGAAAACTGGTGGAATTAAATCAAATGAAAGACAAAATTAGCCAATAGAATCAAATAATGCAATAATTAAGGATTGTAATTAAATACCTAATACTGTGCACCATAAACCAGATAAAGAATCAAGGTACTTCTTTCCATTTACGTCATAGACATAAGAACCCTATAACAAATTACACAAATGTTAAAAGCATAATATCTTAAAAGTTTCTCAAAAGTTAAAAATAACCAACAAACTTTAAATTAAAAAATATTTTATTTTCATAATGATAAATAATTAAGGGATAAAGCATGAATATCTCCGGAATTATGATCGAAATTTCAGCGATACAACTTAATTTAATTAGGACCCTATTAAATTAAAGTATGTCATTGAAACTTCGATCATAATTCAGAAGCTACTTATGCCTCAGGTAACCAAAAAAAATAATTATACTAACAATGCATATAACTTAAAACTCGTAACAAAAATAAAACTCAAAATCTAACCTCCGCTCTATCTATAACTAAAGGTCCCATATCAATCATCCATGCCGCAGTAAAAGGTGCCAACATATCATGCCCCTTAAATCTGTAAATAAAACGTGTACATATTTTGTTAACTAGATATCAGTAAAATTACAAAAATAAAAATTGTAGTAAAGTAATTGAACTTTAATCAGTATAACAATAATATGATGAAATTTTATCATAAGAAATATTTTTTTTACTCAATTTAGAATGACTTGAGTACTTTACCCATTAGTAGTCTTGGCCATTCCTTCAAGCTTTCTTGAAAATCTATGAGGAGAAAGAACAAGAGAGAAAGATGAAGCAAGAAATGAAATATACAGAGAGAAAGAGAGGGTAAATGTATATATATAAGGAAAAAGGTTGTGAATTATGGGCCATTGTTTAATAAACTTATATTAAGATATATTATGTCATTTTTTGAGTTTCACATCTGAACTATTGAGACTTGAGAGTGTAACATCTTGTTTTTTTGTGGTTGTTACTCATTGTATTGTATTATATTGTTAGTTTAAATACAATATTTATTTTGATTGTTACTTAAATTCGATTATATTGTATTGTTTAAACTCAGATTTAGATAAGAGATAAGTGTCAAAAACACATCTAAACTGCACTCTTTTTTTTAGTTTCATACCTAAATTATTGGGACTGTGAGTTTCGTACCTAAACTATCACTTATTAGTTTGAGAAACACATCTCTCTTTTTTATAACACTCACATCATGGTGTGTGTAATACATTCTCTCTTTTACTTTAAAAAATTGTCATATTATACTCCACATGGACAAAACATTTCATCTTGAAAAAAATTAAATAAATTATTAATATTAGTTAAAATTAAAGATTAAAAATAAAATAATAAAATATTTTTATTACCCACACCATCACTTCCTCACCATAACCACTCCTCCCTCCACCTCATTTTTTTAGTTTTTTTTCTTATTTTAAATTTTTTTATAAAATTATATAATTTTTTTTACTTCATCGATCCCCACCGCTCAAATACTAATTTAGATATTATTTTGTTTTTTTTTCCCAAAAAATTCTACCTACTCCACCCAGTCCTCCGCTTTCAATTTTTTTCTCGTTTTGTGTTAGATGTATACATATCGAAAATATATTTTACTTGTTGCCGCAAGACTATTATTATTCATGTTACATTCGGTACACGAAAAAAATTCCTAAAAATATATGTACATATCTAACACAGAACAGAAAAATGTAAAAATAAATAAATAAATTAGGAGCGGATAGTTTAGGTGTGAAACTCAAATAAAAGGGATAGTTTAGGTGTGCTTTTGACACTTATCTCTTTAGATAATGACGAAAAGATCTATTTTATGTAACGATTGATTTGGTGTGATTACGTCGTTACCTTAATATTTTCTTCTAATTTTGTCTTTATTTATTATTTAATAATCATATTTCATCTTTTATCATATCATCTTACAATAGCTCTATCCAATACCCTACTTTTATTATAGGTTTATCATTCAAATTATGAATGTGTAACATTAAGTTATGACGGAGAACGATATAATCTATTCAAAAATTGTATTCCTTAAAATAATATATTACAATCCATTATAAAACAACGTAACAATTATCCAAATTAAATTTCCTATATAAACTTCAGTCAATAGTTAGCGAGACACAACAAATTAAGTATATTTATTTTTCCTTAGGGAACACACATGGGCCTAGAAAAATGTGTGCAAAGAATATTGGGAAAATGATATGAAAAATACTTCAACTTTGGCCGAAATTGTTGTTACGATACCAAACTTTATGGAAAATCTTTTATCCTCTGCACTATTTGATAGTGTATTGTAAAGGTATATATGTGCCCATGCGGACACATTACTATTTAAAATGATGCAATATTTATGATGTCCACGTGGGCACATATATACCTTTAAAATACACTATTAAATAGTGCAGGGGGGTAAAAGGTCATTTCCAAAGTTCGGTATTTTATAGCAATTTCGATCAAAGTTCGGATATATTTCAAACCATTTTCCCAAGAATATTTGAAGCATAAGCACATATTACCTCAGTCTCATCATATTAATAATTAATTATCCGCATCACTAAAAATAGTTACCTCAACTTTTTTTTTCTCTCCCTAGGAGCTCCCACCCCTTTTGGTCCCTTGGTGACTCGAGCTCGCAACCGTCGGGTTGGAAGTGAGGAGTGCTTACCATCCGAGCAACTCGTTACCTCTACTTACTTATATATAAAAATGAATAAAATAAAGATAGAACTAATTATAATTTTTTTATTTTACCATTATAATTATTAATTTTTTAAAATGTAAGCAAATTTGTACGTTCTAAAAAAATTTCTCAAGAGATAAATTAGTAAAATCATTCTTCTATTTAAATATATTTTAAGAAATATGTAAAACAAAAAGTATTCAATTAATATAAAAGGAAAAAAGACTCAAATTTGTCATTGAACTTTGTGAAAAATTTATCTATTTCATCAATTAAAAGTTTGGCTCATCTGTGTCTTTTCTATTTGAGAAGAGATTTATTCATGTCACGATTTGTTAATTGAAATGACATAGATGAGCAAAATTTTTTAACGAATGATATAAATGAGCTTTTTCTCAAAGTTCGATGGCATACTTGAGCCTTTCACCTTTAAAAATGATTTAATTAATGATGTGGTCGAATCATAATTGACCACATGTAAAAATATTTTTGCAAAACCAAAATTATTTTCAGTTAACAAATAATGGCATGGATGAGCTTTTTCTCAAACGATAATGTCATAAATGAATCAAACTCTTAACGAATGACATAGATGAGTATTTTATCAAAATTCGATATTATACTTGATCTTTTTCCCAATATAAAAAGAACAGGGAAACATTTCGTATTCACAAATAGTTGAGAGAAGGATCGCATTCAAGGTCGTAACGTAGACAGTCTATCATATGCAAATATTACTAGCTAATTTCACGATCCAAATACATCTGATTATTTCATTAAAAAAATATTAGTTTTAGAAAAAACATAATGCATAAATCTGTAATGGCAGTTGAGCTGGTGAAATAGGTAATATTCTATAAGGTAGGAATTGATTCTTTCTGGTCATACCTTCTCAATCGATCTCATTGCACCAAATATACCAAGTGCGACTTATACATCTCATGTATAATTTGTGATTTATTACATAAAAACAGTTTATCCAGGATACACCCAAAAACTAGCAACGGTTGATTTATCTGTGATTTTTTTAAGAAAAAACTTAGGGCATTAAATTGATTTTTCTTGAATCTCAACATAGCGCAGGATCATTTTGAGGAAAAAATATTTTAAAGAAAAATAAAGTAAAATATCATGTATATTCAAATTTGAGATTTTTGCTTTTTAAGAAAAATGCTTAAATATACCATCAAACTTAAAGAAAAGGCTTATTTATATCATTTGTTAAAATTTTGGTTCATTTATACTATTTTCGGTTGAGAAGATGTTCATCCATGTCGTTGTTTGCTAACTGAAATGACATAGATGAGTCAAACTTTTAATAGATGTCATATATATGTTTTTTCTCAAAGTTCGATGGCATATTTAACCCTTTTCACTTTAAAAAAATAATTTAATTAATGACGTGGAAGAATCGTAATTGACCACTTTTAAAAAATAATTTTGCAAGATCAAAATTTTTTTAGTTTATAAATAATGACATGAATGAGCCTTTTCTTAAACAAAAATGACATAAATGATCCAAACTTTTAACGTATGACATAGATAAGTCTTTTCTCAAAATTTAATGGCACATTTAGAGCCCAGTTGGGTTGACTAAAAAAAGTAGTTTTTAAGTCAAAAATAAAAAGTCAAACTGAAATGACTTTTAAGTCAAAAAATAAAAAGTAAAGGGAGATCTACTTTTGGTTTTTAATTTATTTTAAGTCATTTTTTGTCTTGCCAAACATTTCGTAACTTATTTTAAATATTTTTGACTTATTTTAAGTTATTTTTTATATTTATCAAACACTTCCAAAAGTCAAACTGACTTAAAAGTAGATTTGACCAACTTTTAAGTCAATCCAAACGAGCTCTTATTTTAAGTTATTTTTAACCTTACCAAATACTTTCTAACTTATTTTAAATCATTTTTAAACTTATTTTAAGTTATTTCTATATTTACCAAACACTTTCAAAAATAAAAAAACTGACTTAAAAATAGATTTTAACAACTTTTAAGCCAATCAAAATACTATTTTATTCACAATCTCACTATAGTTCTAAATATATTGATGGATTCATTGGAGGACAACACTGAGGGGCACTGTTGTCATTTTTCTTGCACAATAACTATGAGAAACTATTTTATTTTTACTTTCTCCGTCCCTAATTATTTGTCCATTTTCGAATCGATAAATCTATTAAGAAAATAATAATTGACATAGTGAGTTAACTATTTATTCCTATTAGTGGATGAATTAAAAAATTTAAGATTTTAAAGAAATTTTATATTTTTAAAAATTAATTAATTAAAGATATACTATATAAAAAATTGTGTGTTTTCTTGATTTGTCAAAATAAAGAACTAAAAAAAGAAAAACTGAAGAAGTAATTTTGACAGAGGAGTATTAAATTAATTAAGAAATATTATTTAATTCAATCTACTTTTTGTGGACAGAAAATTTAGTGGCACAATTCTTTACGTCCAAAAATTGCTAAAATGTACGCAGGCAATTGTCTCTTTCAATAATACTCTAGATATTTGTGCCAATATATTTCATTATTTTGGTCTCTGATACAAATGGAATTTAAAGAATCAATTTACTTTTTATATTTATCTTTAAAATATATATTTAAAGTATAATTGTTTTGTGTTTTCCATATCATTTTAAAATAATGTATGTTATTTCCGTTTCAATTTATATAAATATTCATAAATATTTTCAGTTGTTAGTTTGTTATGAATTTTGAATTTTTTAACGTCATTTTCAAATAATACTTGTTACTTCTTCTTTTTCAATATAAATGATACATATGGACTTAGAGAGTCAATCAAAATATTTACAATTGCTAAATATTGTGGTTTATAATATCTGTTACGTAACTTTTAATAGTATATGTTATTCCATCTGTTCATATTCATATGATACTAATAGCATTTTAAGAGTCAATTAAATATTTTTTTTAAATTGTACCTCTAATATATTTTGTAGCTAAAATATAATAAATTGAGTAATTAAATTTAAAAAGAATAATTTACCACAAAATAGACAAAGTGAAAGAAATTTTTTAAAAATATTGTGAGGCACAAATAAAGAGAAGGAAATGGAAATTACTCAGATGGGGTCCATTCTTTAAAAGACAGTTGGGTAATAAAAAGAAAATTGGAAAAAAATGACATAGAGAGAGTATTCATGTACAATGTTGTTTCAGCATAATATTAAGAAAATTCCTATATTGCCCCTGTTAGGAAAGCATACATGTTGACGAGGCTAGAAAAGTAGTTGTTTGTCAACTATCTTACAAAAAACAAATATAAAAAATTAATTGATTCTTCAAATTTCATTCTATCATATCATATAAATTGAAATTAAAATAATAATATATATTGGATTCGTACTGATACGAACACCATTATCCAGTAACTTGAGAAGGATGAGGGACTCTCTAATTACCAATTTCTCCCTAATATATTGGTGGTGGACATTTTAAAAGGATGAGATATTTTAGCACATTAAATGTAATTCAATCAAAACCCAATTATATGAAAAACAATTTTGTCATTTTGTTGAATCTTACCTAATAGAACACCAAAATTTAAGGGGAAAAAAAAGGTGTTGGTAGGCGAGGAAGAAGAGTGTAGTGATAGCGGACAATTCAATAGAATTGGAGGCCTTAAAAAAATTAATTAGAGGCGTAAAATATATCTAAATTAAAAAAGTTTATTTATGTTATTAGTTAAAAGTTTAACTTATTTATGTTTCTTTTTATTTGAGAAAAAAAATCATTAATGTCATTATTTATTAACTGAAATTACATAGATGAGTCAAATTTTTAATAGATGATATAGATGAGTCTTTTCTTAATTCGATGACATATTTAAGTCTTTTTTATTTTAGAAAATGATTTAATTAATAAGGTGGCTTAATCATAATTGACCACGTGTAATAAATAGTTTTGCAAAACCAAAATTATTTTTTGTTAACAAATAATGGCATGGATGAGCCTTTTCTCAAACGAAAAGGGCATAAATGAGTCAAACTTTTAACGAATGACGTAGATAAGTCTTTTATCAAAATTTGATGACATATTTGAGCATTTTCCCTTATTTAATTACCATATGTTGCAAGTTTGCAACTTTAATTTCATATATATTAATTATTAAATAACTAGTTAACGGCAAGTGTGTATCGCGTTAATTGATAGTAATAAGTATATATAAAAAGATTAATTATTGTGTTTACTTTATATTATTAAATACAACATTTTAAAGAAAATAACATAGAATTTTTAAGATAATAAAGACATTTTGCTATTTACCACTTAAATTTCTCTCATCAATAAGTTAAAATAATTGAAGAGAATTTCTTTGGTTGGGTCCCAACTCCCAAGATCAATAGTATGGAGTTTTATTCATGTATGCACACCTTGTTTCTTTCTATATATAAAATGTATATATATATATAGTAAAGTAATAATAACAACAATAATATTCAATCATGTTTGGTTGAATTTGCATATTGTGGCCTGTCAGCTTCAACAAAAAGCAAAAATACACAACACATGCAATTTTCGGTCCGTTGGTTATGTCTAGGGGGATGGGGGGTTAATTTACGGATACACATGTGCAAAACACATATACTAAACTAGGAGTAATATTAATGACCTGTTTATCAAATATTAAACTGATAAAAATATAAATTTTGATATAACTTTTTTTTTGATAAGTCTATAAATTTTGATAAGATCAAACCTCTATAATATGACGACAGTATATA